ACAGGCAAGTATGAAAAAAATATGAAGTAATATATGTTTTAAAGGAGTGAAGTCATACCTGGAGATGCATTACCAAGACATTTCTTGTAGGTGTCAAGTTATGCAGTAATTCAGAATTTGAAGGTAATGAGGAAAACCACATCTGCCACGAGATCACCTGCCTTAATGCTGAGTACAAAGCACAAGTGTCTGTCAAGCTTCTTGGGGGCATCCGGGTGGAATCAGGTTTTAAAGTCCAACAACAGTACCTAAAGAGAAAGTCGCATAGATTAAAATCTTTTCACATGTTTTATTTTATATAATGAGGAGTTGTTAGCCCCAAGCTGGAGGACTACCCCTTGTTGGCTGTTTGTGACTCCTTCTTCATTATATTAGCAACTACTCTCGATATCTGGAGGCCTCCTCCGTCTACAACCTCCGGAAGAATGTTGTACTCTAGCCTGTAAGGTAAAGGTGTCCCTGGTGCTTATAGAAGCACCCCATGAAGACAGAGGAGTGATGTACAGTTTCACATATTCTTAACCTTGGTGCTAATTGAACTTAAGTGTTTAGTTTAATGTTCCAGCCACTTTATCCCCAAAGAAAAGAGGAATTGTATGCCAATGGATAGGAGGCTGGGTGAGCCCCAGAACCAGTCTGCAGTTTGTGATGACAATAAAATTCCAGTCCTGCCATACCAGAAATTGCACTGTCATTCATCCTGTAGCATCATCACTACTGACCCCTGTACTTATATATTTTTTTCCTTTCAAAAAACAAGTGAGCTAATTCAGAAACTTTTAGAATATACCATTAGGGAGGCCCATGAAGTGAATGGAACATACCAGCATCTGTTCTAAGCTAATGATGTTAATTTACTACCCCAAAACTCAACCAAGTATATGTTTTTGGCTTGTTACATCTCATATGAAGACACTTATTACAAAACATTACCATTGTCACCAATGAAACGCATCACTACAAAGTAATGTTGTATAATGAAGTTGTGCAGATGGAACTGACATTAAGCTGAATAAAATAAACACAATCTGAATTTTTCCATGTTAATTTATAATTTGTACTTTTCACCAAATATTATTTTGCCAATCAGTCTGAAGATGAAATGGGCGAAAGCAGTTACATGCATAAAAATAGCAAATACATGTAAAATTGTAAGATGATGGCCACCTTCATACTCCCTGGTGTGATGCTGAAATCTTGCATATAAAATTTTAGTTGGAAGAGGGCACATAGTAGGTCCACGTGCAGATAGTTAACGTGAACTGTTGAACACAGGTAAAATGTATTTTCTGCAGATTCAGAAAACATAACCGAATTACTTGTGAGCCCCTTTCCAGTAAGGAATGGAGTTTTAAAATTTGGCTCTGAGAGTTGTGATTAAAATGTTATTTTCGGGAACTTCCAACTCCTGCACGGAGAGTTAAAGGAAACTCGGCATAATTATTTATTTACTTTCATCGGCATCTTGGTGCATACTTCGGGTAAATTTTACTTCCCGACTGATAGCATTTAAATATATTTCCCGAGCACATCACGATATCTTTCCTTCTGTTCCAGTCTTCTATTAAGGCAAATAAAATTTATCTTAATTAGTTGATATGATAAATTACAAAGTACCAACAGATATAAATAAAGCTGGCGGATATTACGTACACAATGCAGTAAACAACGTGTACATACCAACATCAGCTCTAGCTCGTGATAAAAAAGCAGTACCCGTCAAATCACAAGACTTAGATTTAGTTTGTAGGTGATCACTGTAGTGAAAATAAAAACAATGGTAAGTGGAATACGTAATTTCACTATTGTCTTAGGAAGAGACCAGGCATTTGGAAATTACAGACCAGTGAAAACTTATAGGGAAATTAAAATTACATACCAATCCAGAAACATGTTTACTCGAGACCATGGATCACATACGTCTGAAGACTTCATGCGCACATACACAACAGCTTCTTATGTTTCCATAGCAACATAAAAAAATATGTTCTGAGACTTCAAAGTGGAGTCCTTTAAGAATAAATCGGGTTTTGTACCACAATCATAAACTCATCATGCCGAAAGCTACATGCAGCAAAAACGATGTATTAGACACGAGCGCGGTATATTTCAATTGGTGATGTTGGTCGTCGATGATTGAAGCACGTTCATTTACTGTTAGTTTTTATGGGAATATTTATTTGGTGAAATTGCAGGTGTCTTACCAAATAGCGTTTGGGGACACCTTACAATAATCCACAACCACTTTTACATCCTTTCAAACTGATTATTATCATATGGTTCAGATCCATATTGGAGACTTACTGAATGCAGCTTCTGAAATTTCTTTCCCCTTGCAGTAGATATTTCTCAGAATTCTCTGTTTTTTCTGGAATCACTCCTTTGAAATGACCCCTGCTGTGTGGTCATGATAAAGTATTAAATGTACCTTGTACTGCTGTAATTCTGGCTGGGTTGCTCAGTCAAATGATATGGGTATAATATCTTACCTCAACATGGTATTTTCATGTTGTGTACCCAATGTATCTGTCCACTACTTTCATTCCCTTAGATTTGGTACCTGAAATAATGCTGCAAGATATAGAGTTTCTGAACTGTAAATGTATAATTGGTATACATTTCAGTTTCATTATTATTCATAACTGGATGGCTTACAGAACCAGAAGGTTCATCACCAAATTTAACCAAAGCCCTCCACTGGTCCAACAAAATCCAGTTGCCTTCACATTATTATTATTATTATTCGTAACAAAAAGTAAACTTTTTGATACATGGGTCAGTAATGTCTGAACACAATGCTGCCTCCCCCCCCAATTAAAATACTTCTGAAAACTGTTATGACTCAGATAATCAGTTGACTCAGTAACACAACTGCACTACCAATGAACATTGTGTCACTTAACCTATATTGTAAAAGTGATGTTTCCTCTGCTACAGATGTCAATGTTATACTAACATGGAGGGGAGGTTAACATTAACATCCGTAAGGCTGTATCTTGTTCTGCATTCAGCTCTGCTTGTGAGTGACAATTGCTTTAAGTTATCACTATGTTAAATATTAAATTACATTTATTTTCTCTTCTAGAAATTCTTATTTCGAGGTCTAATGGCACCTGTTCTAACACCATATTCAAATGATGGGTATGTAGTTCCTGAAGAGAAGTAAAGATTGCAACTTATTTCTTGTTCTTTGGTTCTTTAGTCATGAAAGAGGGTGCAGGATTCAACTGCAGTGCATCTGTAGTTTTAAAGTTACATTTTAACTTTCAGGTTATTCAGCATACAAGAGGATATTATTCCAAAGTATGCAAAGTATCTGTCAAGTATAGGAATCCATGCAGTTTTGGGTAAGTTTCCTTGCATGTTGTTTAGTCATTTGTCAAAAAGTTGACTTACAGTACAAAGTACGTGTTTGAAAGGCAATGAGTTTCTATTCATTTTACTGTGTTGTCCTCACCATAACAACAGCCTGCCTAATAATACACAAAGAGTAATCCAATTTAACCAAAACAAAAGAATGAAGTTGAGCTGCTGAAGTATTTGTCTTGCCCATATGAACAACACAGTTTGCTATTCCAGAAAGTATAGAGCAAGCAGGAAGGAAAGTACTGTAAATGATTAATATTGTTATGTGTCTCCTTCAGTGTTGACTGATTCTTATAATTTAATATCATTTCATCTAATGCTGATACAATAATTTGAAGGGTGAAAAAAATTAAATAATAATCAGTGATCATTTGTACTCTTCTCCTAGAACTGTTAGGATGATTAATTCTAGAATTAGTTCAGTGCAAATGAGAACTGTATAAAATCTGTAGCCAGAAAGGCTTGAGGTAAGAGACTGACTGGGAGGTCTATGGATTATTTAATGATGCTGTCTGTAACAGACTATACAGCATCGAATGATAGGCTGACTAACGAATAATGAACTGGAAAGGATGTGGAAGAACACAATCATGGCCTAATTTTAAGTACCATCATAGCATTTGCCTGGATGGACTGAGGAAAACCATGAAAGACCTCAGTCAAGATAGCTCATCTCCAGGCCAAGATCTGAACCCAGGATCTTCTGAGTATGAAGGTGGAGTGCTAATCAATCAGCCACAACATCTGGTCACAGGGAAGGACAATATTGAAATGGGTCCAGGAGAAACAGAGATTAAAGGTGTGGACTAAATTGAATTGACTTGGGACAATAACCAATGGCAAAGTTTTGGAAATACAGTGCTAAATCTGAAGGTTCCAAGTAATTTGTTTACCAGATAAAGCAACTAAGAACCATTGTGTTAGCTAGTTCATGCAATTTGTTAGAAGAGGCTGGGTGGTAGACTGGAGACAAGCAAGAACTCTGGTGTGGAAACATCATAAAGGACTATGATAAACACACAGTAGCAACACTGAAACAGACTGCAGTGACATGGGTGCCTCATGTTAACAAGATGCTTACAATTCCAGTTAATGGGACAAGCGGGGAGGGAATGTCCATGACGGTGGATGAGAGGAAAGCTGTAACAGAAGCGTGGGCTATGGCTGTGAAAGAGACGAAACAGATTCTGATGGTTCAAGTTGGAGGTGCTTGTCTCAAGGATGTGCAGGAGTTGGTAAATTTCACACAAATTCTACTTACACAGAGTTAGAAATTCTCTTCACTTCTATTTTGTTAAATATTCTCTAAAGTGGAAATATTTTCATATGAAAGATGTAGATGTAAATGAAAACTGCATTTTATGTTGTGTACAAATCTTTTTGTGCATTGAGTCTGCTTTGAGCTTCATGTAAACATGGGGTGTATATTTTATTTACACAGACTGATACTAAATTACAGCCAGACCCCAGTATCATCAAAATATAGTCATGAGGCTCAGACATAAAACAAGTGGAGAGGCAGACTTGAGCTATTCATTACGCATTCATTTTGTGGTCTATTCAAAGAGGACATTAAGAAGTCAGAAGTAACCACAGTTAAGATAGCACCAACTTTTGTACCAGTCTTATGAATTATCCTTTTCTCCATATCCCACATTACTGAAACACCGAGTGACTGAAACTTCTTACGCATTTTGAAACATTTAAGAATGTGGAACAGCCAAGTTTTGCTTCAGAACTGCTGAGACAGAGTGCCAATGTTTGCAGGCAGCTCATGCTGAGAGTCTTGGCAGTGATGCCCTCCTGTGCTTGCCCGAATTGTTCAACAAACCTCAGACGGTGGATGAGCTGGTGAAGTACCTGACATACGTAGGACAGGCAGCTCCCAAGACACCCCTTCTGTACTACCACATTCCTTCATACACTGGAATTAAAGGTAGGTATTGCATGCAGGGATAAGTGGCAATAACAATATGGACCATCTACATCATCATGATGTTTCCACCAGTATGGGTCATCTAATGACAAGGCCTTCTGATCATTCTTCTGTGTCCTCCAATAAATGTTACTCTTCTATTTATGTAGACTTTTCCTGTTATGTTTTGTTTATCTTCTGTCACTTCGTCTTACCACCATCTTAATGAAAACATACCCATCTCATATTCAAGAGGTCCTGGATTCAAATCTTAGCCTGGGGGACCTGCTTCTGTGACAGATTTGTTATGGGTTTCCTTAGTCCTGCCAGATAGAACCTGTGACAATACCTAAAATATGCCATGACTGCTTCATAGTCATTCTTATTTTATATCTATGTAACTGAAAAAGTATCATTAAACAATAAATTAATTATTCAATCCAAACTGTCCTGGTTTTAACCACTCCCATGCTTACATTTCATAAACATTGAGTTAAATAAACTTGGTGCCATGAGTGATCTTACATGACACTAGCAGTTCTATATTTGTCATCATTCTTCTTAGAAGCTCTCAAAGGAATCCTACCATCATCCATTTCTTATTTTTACTAATGTTTTATTTGTTTATAATTCCTCAATTATGTGAAAGGTTAAGGAATCCATTCCTATGGTGAGAACAACCACATGGCAGGATTCTGTTTGCTCCACATGAAAAGCCAGCAGAGGAGACCTGCAACTGAATGTGGGACTCAAACCATTGTGTGGATCTGATCCAGTGCACATTCACAAAGCTTTTATTTTATCTGTATGTGCCTAGTCTTGAGGCACAGAAATGAGGTGCCTCATCCCTAGACAACAAGGTCCTGCCTTGTATCTGAGCAGTAATTAGCTTCACTGTTTGTGTAGTGAGCATGCCACAGTTCCTAGCCGCTGCTGCCCATAACATCCCTACATTTGCTGGAGCAAAATACACTGACAACAACCTGGAGGAAGGAACCCAGTGCTTAGCAGTGGAAAATGGGACCCTTAGCTTTTTTCTAGGTTGTGATCATGTATGTATACTAAAATATTAGAAAGAAAACATTAGCTGTCAATAATACATTTATATACACTGATTATACTGTGTCTTAGTAAGGAGGTTGGTCTTGAAACAAACACAGTAAGCACTAAGTATTCACGTGTTTGTGCCTCATCGCCACATACGAAACAGAAGCAAGTTCAAGTATTTGATAATGACAGTGAAATTCGTGATGGAACTAGATTAAATTCAGGAAATAGTTACTACTAATATCAATATCTTGTTTCACCTCAAAACCTAGATATCAAATGTATAAAACTATATTCTTACTCATTGCTTTGTATGGTGTGTCTTCTAGTCTTAAGGAAGAACATACACTGAGGATGCCTAAGAACAAAGAATTATGGGCAATAAGAGTGAGAGGAAGTAACAGAAGGCTGGAGAAAGCTGCATAATTTTTATCTTTCACCTAATACTGTTAGTGTGATTAATTGAATAAGAACAAGATGGTTGGTGAGACGCAGAACACATACAAAATTTTAGTTTTAAAACTGCATGGGAAAATGTCCTAGAAGACCAGAAATGGTGTGTGATATTGCAAAATGAATTTATATGGCTCACGATTGGGTCAGAAGGTGACTTGTGTGATGACTACACATTCTTGTAAAAGCTTAATACCTGTGAACTGCTAGAGGAAGATCCTATAACATGAGGTCAGTCTAGAATTAACACTCCTGTAACAAAGTCAAACTTAACAGTGTTTACTTTGAATCACTGGACACACTTCATTTAAACCCCCCAAATTTCTTGTGAAATTGTCATCCATGTGGAATTCAAACCATCATTTGCTAATGATTCTGCAGTGTCTGTGTATTCTGGTATGGAATCACTTTTCAAATCTTGTCATGCAGGTTTTTATAGTGTCCAATGAGACAAGAGAATAACTGTGCACAATGAATGGGAAGTAAGTGGTTCTGGCACAGTTAAGACACAGACTGAGGAAAACCATTAAACATTCAGTTAGAATAGCTAGTGCCATACATTATCTCTATTCAAACTGGATATCTCAAGATGATCAGATTTGTTCCATCCAACTGCCTGAGCTACTTGGCAGAGTATCAGTTACTCAGCTGACCAAGAAGTTCTTTGTATTTACGAAACCTAAAGGATCACCACTGACTGTGGTTTGACTCACTTCATTTCAAACTATGCAATAAACATGATTTCTTTCTGTGTTCAGGTTCTAGCTGGAGCTTTCACACTGGGTTTTGACTCAGCAATTGCTACAAGCCTTAACATGCTTCCAAGCCCAAGTATCAAAATACTAGCAGCAGTGAAAAACAATCACTCCAGTGAAGCACTGCAGGAGCAGAGGAAGCTATCAAAAGCCATAAATGTCATAACTCGTAATGGTAAGTACCTTAGGGACTGAATATATTACCATCACTTAACAAAACTTGTCAGCTGCATACATCATGCGATAAAGATGACTGTGAATGAAAGGCAAGGAATCCACTGCAATGTAATCTCAGCATCTGCCTGGAGAGACTGAGGAAAACAATAGAAAATCTCAGTCAAGAAAGTCAACCAGGAATTCAGGATCTACCATATATAAAGCATGAGTATCAACTTCTCTCCTCTTAGGATAATGGAACCAGATTTTGCATCAATATTTTAGGCATTGCTTATGTTACCTTTTCTATGGAGCGACTGTAAAAACACACCAAGTTAGTAGCAATAAAATGCTGATCTCCTATTTATCATGAGTTGAGGAAGTTTTTGTAAGGGTAGTTCATGTCATATCTCTGTTCCTTACAGCATAACTACAGGAAGTCAAAAAATCAGTAAAATAATACAGTTTAGCCTAAGTGTTTTGGAGTAATTAGGTCTATATGGTGGTAAGCTGTGATATGAGACATTAAGAATTCAATTTTCTACAACTGTCAGCTCATTGTGAATTAGGCTTTTCACTTGCTGCACCTATTCCTTATTTAAGCTTATATCCACTTCACAGACAGTGTGAATGAAGTAACAGATTCAGGCATTAATAAGTAATAGAGTATGAGTGTTTTGGATTAGTGTAGAACATAAAATTGAATAAAGTAAACATGCACACATTCAGGTTGAAATGGCAGTCACACAGTGTCAGCAATTAGTAAAAGGGTTTATACTGAAACTGAACAAATTTGTAACCAACAAAATGTCTTCTACAGGAGGCTGGGTGTCGACTATGAAAGCTGCAATGAGTCTGATGACCCCAATTAATGTGGGCCCTCCACGACCACCCCTCACCCCTCTCATTGATAAACAAATAGATCAGCTGAAGAAGGATTTGACAGCCTTGCAATTACTGTAGTCACCCATACAGTTTTACTGTCCACAGATGAAAGAACCGAACCACTGAAACTATAGCCTGTGTATAAAATGAAGGTCTAATCACATGGCACATATTTGAAACTGTTTTATGTATTTAAATGTATCTTGGTATTGGAGATCCACATTAAATGCTGGAATATGAATTTAAATTTGGTGTATACTTAATTACGATGTCAAACTTCTGTAAAAGATTTTTATATGCTGAATATTTAATTAAATGTGTATTTCATAAATAAACCAAATGTCAGATCAGATTTATCCTTCTACAGAGTTTGGTACCTGTTCAGTTCCAATATATGAACTTAAAGCTACATACACGCATTTCCTCTGTCAATGAACCAATTCAGTCAGCACAGCAGACTATAATTCAAACATGTAGTAGCTTCAAAAAAAGTTCCATGACAGAAGCAAATACATTGGCGCACACACTGTTCATGAAATTTGAGGTTTCAATGGCAGTGAGGATGCTGATGTTCTTGTTCTGGGTTTTGATACTGTGTAGACTCATTGGTAGATGCAAACGTTTTGGAAAAACATACTGGAGAAAGTATGTTTCACTACATAGCGCCAAAACCCAGAACATCATCAATTCATGGAATTGCTCACTTACCATTCGACTAGTGGATGTGACAGGTCCCAGAAGTGAACAAAGTTGAGCAAGGAGATCAAAGGGGCTATATCGATCAGTTTCAGCAGCCTGCGACACTGTAGGACAACTGAAATGTGACAGCAGTAGTTGTGTGGCATGACTGTTGTAAGATGGTATAGATGATTGTAGAGAAAATCAGAATTTCAGTTGGTAGTTACCCCACCATAGATATGAAGATGCACTGCATCCATCAGCGCTAAGAATGTTGAAAGTTCCAACAGGATCCCCAGAAAGACAGGGCATCAGAAACCCTTTTCCAGCTGCAGGGCATAATGCACAATAAGTTTATTTCTAACGGTGTTATAGTCAACATGAAGATGCCCACCCATCTACAGGAGGTAATTCCTCAAATATGGGCAGCCGAACACTTGATGTTCCTGCATGACAAAGCCCCAGCACATCAATTTTTGCATGTGCACCAACTCACCAAGCACAATCTTGTGATGCTTCCCAATCATGCTTCCATGGATGAAGTATGAGCTGTAGGGATGGTACTTCAAGAATGCATTCGAGATTCAGATGGCTTTGAAGAATGTACTGTTGGAGGTCACTCACGGTTACTTCCAGAAATGTTTCAAACTGTATGAATGCTTTATAGCTGCTGCACAGCTACATTTTGAATGCAACAACATCAAAGTACTGGTTAGTGCCTCCAGATTCAAGACATGGCTCTGGTCATGGAATGCTTTGAATGTGCCACATATAAGTTTCTGCTTATCTTTCACACAAAGTTCTCTTTTGTGTTATCAAATATCTATGAACCAGCAAACTATGTAAACATTACAAAACATCACATATATCTCCAGACCTGTGGCAGTCACTCACATTATACATCAAACTCTTCATTATAGCACTCGCGTAAAAGAGCCAGGTGGTTAAGGCATTCTTCATATTCATCCTCCTCCAGTCCAGAATTACAAAAGCAATGGAAACGTTTCAGCTGGAGTTTCCTCACTTCCATATTCAGTGCCGCCAACATATCACCTACACTGCGGCAACTGTGAAGTCCTGCAATTGCTGGCACTGAGTAAACACCTGTTCAACAAGGAAAAATGCCACCACAGTTAGGTAGCTGTTATCAGAGAACTGTAAGAGTGGTCAAATGAAACTTCTGGTAATTGTATATCTATATTCATAAAAGCTACATTAATGTTTGTGGGTGGGTGGGCAGGTTTGCTTTGTACTCACTGATGAGATATTTAAATGGATGTTGATCTTGGGAAGAACACTGGATGGAAACATCAACAGATGAAATAATGTACGAGGCGCGTCCACAAAGTAAGTTTCCCACTCGTCCCACAGCTAGCAAACCTTATATTGCGCGAAGCGACTGTGCGTACGTGATAGAGCAATGACGTAGCATGGCGCATGCACTAACGGAACTTCCCGCGTTCTCACA